TTTATATTGCCTCCATGAAGGATTTCTTGACGTTATTCTAAACTAGAAGATATTTTTTAACAAGTTTTGTCGAGATCAAAGCGAGATTTGGGTTCCGTTTCCGCGGTCGAGGATTTGCAAGAAAGTCTTTTCGTTCCTGCATCCTTATTCTTGAATAGGAGTGAAAATAAAGATGAAATTCGAAGTAATGGTGGAATTTCACGCTAGGTGACGATAAAACGCTGAAGTTTATTCACTGTTATAATTGCTTATATAACAATATTGTGAAAATAGACTGAGAAAGGGATTGTTTTCCAACGAACAAGATTTTTTAGTTAAACTGGTTTGTTTACAGTTTTCTTTAGATTAGTTAGTAAGTTCACGGTTATATCACAACATACTAGAAATTTTATAAAATCTTTTTTGATCGTGTAACCGTTTAAGTTTCGTGCTTTGTTTACTTCTTTTTATTGTTTTAACTGCTGCACGTGGTGCCATTGCATCATATCGCAGATATAATGCATTCGTCTACCCATCCTATCATTATAGATTTTTGTAGACTTTAAATGTATCAGGAATAAATCTATAATATGATGATCGTAGAAAAAACATTTTCGTACATGCGTGAGACGCTTATTGTTTGGTGCACAAACTCCATGCGCACTCGAAAAAGTAGTTGATTCCAGTCTGCTAGTGTTTCTGTCAGCTAGTGTTCCCGTCTGCTAGTGTTCCCGTCTTCTAGTGTTCCCGTCTGCTAGTATTCCCGTCAGCTATTCTTCCCGTCAGCTAGTGTTCCCGTCTGATAGAATTTCAGTTTGCAACTGTTCCCGCCAGCTAGTGTTCCTGTTTGCTAGTGTTCACCGTCTTCTAGTGTTCCCGTCTGATATAATTTCAGTCTTCTAGTGTTCCGCACAAATGCAGTCATCAGTTTTTTGTGCACTCAATCGCGCGGTAACCTGATCCCAAAAACAAGTACTTTGATGCATAGTAATGAAAACGCATAATCCCCAGTGAAGTTTTTATTTTCATATAAAGTTTCGATCAAGGGTAATTACCTACGGGGATTAGCAGAAAAGTACACGCAGTCTTCTACGGAGCATGATCGCGCTGAAGAAATTCTGCTACTAGCCGGTGAGTATTGGTAGATGTAATACAATAATAGTGGTATTTATTAATTTAAATTATTCTAGTAATGCTTCAACGATTATTATTTATGATTAGCATCAGTTACATTACGTCTTAATGAGCACTTAGCATTAAAAGTTCTGACGCTTGTCGTCACTGCATGACATGCGCTTCTGACGAACTTCGATATACATGTATATGTTTACATTTATTTTATTTATAGCAACGGGGCAGTTCAGTTTTATTATAATCTAGTCTCGTCAAATTTTAGCCCAAATTCTATATTTTTCTGTGTACTCTGATTTCTGTAGACCCCGACTGAACCATAACTGTTTCAATTTATTTCGTTATTCTGAGTTTAAGTTTGACTTGTGGAAAATATATTGCAGGCTTGCCTTTACATGTGACTAGAAAATGCTACAAAATCGAAACAAAAGCACGGTAGGTATTTAAATGTCAGAAATAAGTATTCAAATACCACAGAGTCATAATTACTAAGACTCATTATTAATGCTCAAATCTTGGCCTAATAAGCCTGAAAATTTATTTTTTCCCCTGATATTATTAATACAAAGACCGTCCGTCAGAGTGTTCAGTTCTGACTTCTTCAAACGACTCGGCATCCGCTGTCGCCAAAGCATCCCCCGACTTCACTAGCTGCTTTATTTATTTGACTTCATTAAATTAATGTGATGCGATGTTCAGCTTAGGATCTTTCGAGCTGTTTCCCAGCAACGTTAGGTTTACGCTAAATTCTTACCTCTAACGTTCACTGTTACTGTGTTTTTTTTTTCAGTAAAACAAGGTTTACGCTATATTCTTACCTCTAACGTTCACTGTTATGGTGTTTTTTTTTCAGTAAAACAAGGTTTAGGCTAAATTCTCACTTCTAGCGTTCACTGTTATGGTGTTTTTTTTCAGTAACACAAGGTTTACGCTAAATTCTTACCTTTAGCGTGCACTGTTATGGTTTTTTTTTTCAGGAAATCAAGGCTTACGCTAAATACTTACCGATGGCGTTCACTGTTATAGTATTTGCTTCAGTAAAACAAAGTTTACGCTGAATTCTTACCTTTAGCGTTCACTGTTATGGTGTTTCTTAGTAACGCCATTTTTTTGCTATATTCCCTTTTTTATATCGTACAACGTTTACAAATAGTGACATTATCAGCATGATCTTTAAGATATTTTTCGATGTTATTTATTTAATGTATATGCATTCCTAAAGTATGCGCGGGTGTGAACCCAAATCAGTATCGCTGGAATTTCAATTACTGAAATTCCCCATAGCTAATCACATTCATTGGGAGACTTACCTATTTCCCACAAATAAGAATTTCTGTATAAACGCATTTCATAAATTAATTAACTTGTGTAAATCATTAAACACGTGCAGATAGGGGCTATAGTTTTCCCTATGTTTCTTTTTGTGTTTGTCGATGATTTATCCGGCTACATTAACATGTCCTAATAGCCTATGGTGCCCGAAAACAAAAACTATAAATGCTTTTAATTTCCAATCTTATATTTTGTAAGATTTCATTTCCCGTGGTATCATGGATGAAATCTACACATTGTATTAGCTGAATTAAACGGCAAATAGCATGGCTATATATACAGAGTAATATTATTACGATGCAAATGATTGACGACATTTCACAAACATTTCTCTTACAGTTTTTATGTATTTTTTGTGCTCTTAGACGTAAAAAAATGATTAAAATGACAGTTATAGTAAAGTTGTTTCTACGCCCTGTTGCGATTTTTTATACGCCATAGATTATTTTTATTTAACTCAAACATTATCCAATTCATGTTCTCCTAAATTTTCATCAATTCAATTTTATTCTATGGTTCCTCCGTTGCGCTTGAAAATAATTTTGATACTTTATTGTATCTATAAAACTGCATTGTGTTATATTTTATATCAATGAAATATATTCCAAGTGAGTCTTTAATGTAAATGCTGTGCTGGTAGAATAGAATTTAAATCAAACTTGAATTTTGGTTCTTTGAATGAATTGAAAAACGCTGCAATCCTCAAAATTGCATCAAGTGACAGAGTTTCCAAAGTAAGTCTCAGGCTAGAGGTGTACTGTGGGGAATAAGATTTGTTGTATTCAATCTAAGCTTGTTTTACAAATCCTTAGCGTTTAAGTTTATCCTGCGGGCGATCCTTGGGGTCTGAACAATGAACGCAAGGAGCCCAAGATTTGCTACTCATCAATTACCTTAAAGCTCCTTGACTGGCAACCGTTTCTAACAGTCAACCGTTTCTAAAAATCTATCTAACAACCGTTTCTAAAAAAAAATAAAAAAAAATTCTAACAGTCGTGTTGGAGATACTTATTTGTAAGTCTTAATATTATTTTGAAACATACTTAGGGTAGTTTTTATTCAGAGTAATTAACAAGCAACTGTACTACCCTAAAGTACCTTGACTAACAACCGTTTCTAACTGTACTGCTGTTGAAAAAAATTCGTTTTTTCACTTTTCGTTCTGAAACTTTAGATTAGAAACGCTTTGATCGTCGGTAAAAACGTTATTCGCGAGCTAATAATTTGGTTAAAATTTTGTTATACCATCTAATTGATACGTAATTCATCGTTGAATTTGGTAGAACTTGAACGCTAAAAACCGTTATATTTTCTCTATATATACCCAGGCTGTGCGCAGCTCTCTTGAGCCGATTGCGTTCCCTAACGACCGTTCCGATGACTCATCTCTCATATATGAATGCTCATTCGTTAATTAAAACGTCAGTATGCGTTCAGAAACTTCCTGGAGCTCAAGCCTGTTTATCATGTTAATGAGAGGAATATGCCGTGTTATTCTTCGAGGTTTTGTGCATGATATTTTGAGTGAAAAAAATACTTGAAGAAACCGAGGCAATAAAATTATTTTTAGTATATATATCATTTGAGTATATCGAAATTTTTTTGTTGCGGCTGATGGAACATCTGTCACATGCATTTTATTTCTTGAACATTTGTCTCTTCACTATTTGTAATTAAGTAGCCTATATAATATTAATAATATGATACGGAGTAGGGGTTGAGTATAGGTAGCTAGGTACGTATGTGTGTAGGTAGCTGTAGCTAGGTAGGTAAGTAGATATCTAGGTATGTGTGTACTTAGCTGAGTACGTGTGTAGATAACTAGGTAGGTGTGTAGATATCTAGGTATGTGTGTACTTAGCTGAGTACGTGTGTAGATAACTAGGCAGGTGTGTAGGTATCTAAGTATGTGTGTATTTAGTTAGGTACGTGTGTAGATAACTAGGTAAGTGCGCTGGTGGCTAGGTATGTGTGTATTTAGTTAGGTACGTGTGTAGATAACTAGGCAGGTGTGTAGGTATCTAGGTATGTGTGTATTTAGTTAGGTACGTGTGTAGATAACTAGGTAAGTGCGCTGGTGGCTAGGTATGTGTGTATTTAGTTAGGTACGTGTGTAGATAACTAGGCAGGTGTGTAGGTATCTAGGTATGTGTGTATTTAGTTAGGTACGTGTGTAGATAACTAGGTAAGTGCGCTGGTAGCTAGGTAGTGCAGACAGATCTTCCTGCTCTCGTTTTTACGGCGCGGGCGGCCGACGCTTCGTGTACGAGTGTCTTCATCTCCGATCTTATTTACACGTCTCTGTTGCTGTTAGCCTGTTACTTCTTCGTCTATTTTGCTGTTAGCCTGTTACTTCTTCGTCTATTTTGCTGTTCGCCTGTTCCTTCTTCGTCTCTGTTGCTGTTAGCCTGTTCTTTCTTCGTCTCTGTTGCTGTTCGCCTGTTCATTCTTCGTCTCTGTAGCTGTTCACTTGTTCCTTCTTCGTCTCTGTTGCTGTTCACCTGTTCCTTCTTCGTCTCTGTTGCTGTTCACCTGTTCCTTCTTCGTCTCTGTTGCTGTTAGCCTGTTCCTTCTTCGTCTCTGTTGCTGTTAGCCTGTTCCTTCTTCGTCTCTGTTGCTGTTCGCCTGTTCATTCTTCGTCTCTGTTGCTGTTCACTTGTTCCTTCTTCGTCTCTGTTGCTGTTCACCTGTTCATTTTTTGTCTCTGTTGTTGTTCACCTGTTCATTTTTCGTCTCTGTTGCTGTTCACCTGTTCATTCTTCGTCTCTGTTGCTGTTCACTTGTTCCTTCTTCGTTTCTGACGCTGTTTGCCTGTTCATTCGTCGTCTCTGAAGCCGTTCACCTGTCTCTCATCTTTTCTGAAATATTGCACGGTTCACTTATTACTTACCTACGTCAGTGCACAGGTTTTTCATACCCTTGTGTCCACCAGTGCTGTACTGTACAAGCAAGTACACATCAGGCTAATGACATTTAAGTAACTATTAAACCGCGTAAATTAAAACAATTAGATGCAACTCGGGTAAACTTTAAGAAGATCCAAACACTACGCATTGTTGTGAGATGATTTACGTAATTTTTTGCTCTTTTTTGTTCGTTTTGAGGTATTTGAGATAAACCTTTATTCAACATGACGGCAACATTTGAAACTAAATGTAATACTGGTTGGAAATTCCGTAGATTTTAACTGAACAAATGTTAATATTCTCTGTGTTATTTGTAAATTAAGTGTACTCAATGTAAACTAAGGATGTTGTAGCTGTCATACTGACACCGAATTTATCTAAGAGTTAAGATCACTGAAATGTTCAATAGCATAGGCCTAATATTCAATAACCTAGGCCTAATATGTAGAAGAAATTGTTTATCGCTTTGATACAGCCTAGTATCCAGTCCATCGGGTCTCTGGCGACATTTCGTCACTTGTGGGAAGATAATAGATTTAAAAATTTAAATACTCTTCTTTTTTATGATGTTAAAATGAGAAAAAGATAGAATATTATTTAACATCAAATATCAAAGTTTTAACTGATAAATCAGTTCAGCAAAGCAAACGGAATTTGCTGAGCACATACATGCAAAAAAATTTTGAATTTATTAAGCTAAAGACGGATTTAAACCTTATATGCTGTTCCTAATTTTAATTTAATCTATTTTTAATCCTTCCTAATAGTAATCACATTAAGATGTTAGCCTGTTCCTTCTTCGTCTCTGCTGCTGTTAGCCTGTTCTTTCTTCGTCTCTGCTATTGTTAGCCTGTTCCTTATTATTCAACATGATGGCTGCAGCTGAAACTAAATGTAATACTGGTTGCAAATTCCGTAGAGTTAAAATGAACAAATGCAAATATTCTCATAGTTATTTGTAAATTAAAGTATACACAATGTAAACTAATGATGTTGTAGCTGTCATACTGACACCGAATTTATCTAAGAGTTAAGATCACTGAAATGTTCAATAACATAGGCCTAATATTCAATAACGTAGGCCTAGTAGAAGCAATTGTTGATCGCTATGATACAGCCTGGTATCCAGTCCATCAGGTCTCCGGCGACATGTCGTCACTTGTGGAAAGATTATCGATTCAAAAATTTGAAATACTCTTTTTTTACGATGTTAAAGTGAGAAAAATATAGAATATTATCAAATCAAATATCAAGGTTTTAATTGATGAATCTGTACAACAAAGCAAACGAAATTTGCTGAGCACATGCTTTCAAATTTTAAATTTATTAAGCTAAAGACGGATTTAAACCTTATATGCTGTTCCTAATTTTAATTTAATCTATTTTTAATCCTTCCTAATAGTAATCACATTAAGAATGTAAATGATTCGCCATTCGGCACAGCGAAAAAGACCTGCAATTTTTGTCACGGTGTTGTGTGATCTCGAACCAGCCGTTTCTTTGCGCATTTTCTCATTTATGGAAAAATGGCGCTATTGTGCTCGTCATGTCCGTCTGTCTGTCCGTCCGTCCGTGACTTCACGTTTTCGTAGACGAGAAAATGCGCGCTCTGTCACTCACTGCAGTGAGCACTGAGTTATATTTTTCCCCTTTATACACCATACTGTTCCATTTACAGTCCATACGAGGGCAAGTGCCGGCTCCACACTGCGATGTTCACCGACCTGATGTTGTGCTGTGCCCCGAAATAGCCGCAGCTTGATGCAAATTTTGTGATATCGCGTTCGCTTGTACAATAGACAAAAGTTTATCACGTTTGCCTGTACAATAGACTAGAGTTTATCGTCTATCAACGCGCCACCTTCATCGTACAAACTCCGTCTAGCTTTGCATATGAGGAGCAACGTGGATGCTTCGTGCAGTGCGATGTCTCCAGCGGGGAAAAAAAATTACACGATTTTTTGCTTCGAATATTCTCTTTATTTGTATTGGGGTATTTCATTATTATTTAATAAAATTTTAAGGTTTTCTCTCATAATTATGCGTTTGGCGCAATTTTTGCCGTGAATTGGCACAGTTCCAAAGTGTGGCCGCAAGCAAGCGCAATTGAGTTTTATTTTTCTTATACATGATTTTTCCACTACCATAGCCACCCACATCTTTTGCATAGCCACCTACATCTTTTGCATAGCCATCCACATCTTTAGCATAGCCACCCACATCTTTTGCATAGCCACCTACATCTTTACTGCTGTCCTCTGCTGTCCTCTGCTGTCCTCTGCTGTCCTCTCCTGTCCTCTCCTGTCCTCTGCTGTCCTCTCCTGTCCTCTGCTGTCCTCTGCTGTCCTCTCCTGTCCTCTGCTGTCCTCTGCTGTCCTCTCCTGTCCTCTCCTGTCCTCTGCTGTCCTCTGCTGTCCTCTCCTGTCCTCTGCTGTCCTCTGCTGTCCTCTGCTGTCCTCTGCTGTCCTCTGCTGTCCTCTCCTGTCCTCCCTTCTCTTTCTCTGTCCTCCCATGGCCTACTATGGCCATCTATATCCTACCCTGTCCTCCTGTGGTCTACTCATGCCCTCCCATGTCTAATCTTGTCACCCTGTCTATATCTGTTTTTATCTGTCCTTCCCTGTCCTTCCCCGTCTTTCACTGTCCTTCACTGTCATTCCCTGTCCTCTCATGTTATTCCTATGTCCTATCCTGTCCAGTATCTTGGGGCGAATTTGTGAGTTTCTTGTGTTGGATGGAAAAGCCCTGAATATGCGAATGCATAAGCCCAGTATACTTTTATTCTGAATTATAATAATAATAATAGCGGTTTCAGCGTTTAGTAGGCCGTAGGCCTGTCGCCGAATCATCGCAGAACATTCACAGCATTTTGCGGTCCCGAACTCACAACTCACTGCTACAATTCTGCTGTGCTTAACCGCCCGGCCTCCTCGCCGATTCTGACCAGAAACTGGCGCACAGAGCTGGGATCGAACCCGCACCTCTCTGCTCCAATCCTGGTACTCTGAACTGTAACCACTGGGCCACTGAATTGTTTATTTGTAGATCATTAAAAGTAATTTAAGGGCCGGCACCAATTGTATAATTAAGGGAGGCTCATTGAAATATGCTAAGAATGACTTATCCTGCATGGCTGACTGGCGCAGGTAGGATGAACTGATATTTGGAGCTATTTTCAATAACGGTATGGAGCCGCATTTCAACATCAGGACTACGTTACGTTTCCGACATTTCTGTCGCGAAATTTCAGCTAAAAAGACGCCCCGGAGTGAATGTGTTTACATGAGCCTTTGTGTAGAATTGTGTACAACATGTCGGCGAGGAGCGGGACGATAGCTTCCAATTAGCGATATTGTACAGCACGTCAGCAAGAGGCAAGCTAGTCAAAAGTGGTTTTGCAAGTTGCTACTTCAAAATTTTGACTCAGGGGCAAATGTCAATTTCTTTACAACAATCCTGTCTCTGCATGGTACATGTGTAATACATACAGAAGAAACATTTATCGTAGAAATTCCTATATATCGGACACAGATCGTTACTTTAGCCAGTTTACATTATTGTTAGTCGCTATATCAATTTTTTTTGGGAATATTTTTTTGTTTTTTACAACGTTTTACACTCTGAGTTGTAAGCAACGCTTTGGCTTAGAGCGTGCGAAACAAGGCCTGGAGTAAACATCCATCATCGGGAATATCTTATCCCAACACCTCATCCTTGAGGAAACTGACGCAAGCTCCTAGGGACTCTCGTGCCCAGGCAAGGAGATTACCGCGGTCTTGTTGGGGCAGCTTTGGAGCACAAAATAACCACTATTAGTTATTAGTTTCAATGTAAAATTTGTGAATAAATCCCAGCGATTTTTCAGGTAACCGTACTTTAGTTTTCTTTTAGAGTTATAAATATAAACTTTTATCGTTAAAATCCAAAACTATTATTCAAAATCACATGATAAATTTTAAAAAAACATTGCATCATATCTAAGCTAAATAATTTCATCCTAGAATCACGTTAATTTTTGTATCCACGTTCTTATTAGCATCGAAGCCATGCATGAAACGTTTGGCATAATTTTCGTTTGCTTGTGATATTCTTACACTCTATCAATATATATAAACGATATTTATGCTACTCCCCGTCACTGTACTGTTCTCCCCGTCACTGTACTGTTGCTCAAGTTCTACTTCTACTTATTTCCGCCTGCGAGCACGTGCATTTTTCGAGTCCGCTTGTAGGTAGGTGCATTTATTGTCTATATGGCGTTTTGTTTGAAAACTTTTACCTGTAATCATGTTGTATGCGATATATGTATAAATATTCAGAAGCAGGTGCTCTTATGTTTCACACAAAAAATCCTTCTTCTTTAAAAGCGAACTTGCGTTAGGTCAAAATCATACTTCAATTATTTTATTCCGTAGTATTTTTTTAATTCATGTGTTTTCTTCAAAAAGTCTCTCGGTGTAAAGCATTTTCTTACTACCCGTCTCTTCCTGAGCCGCTAATCTTTTTCTCTCAAAAAGTTCTCGTTTGCTTCAAAGTTTAAGAGGAAATGTTTAATTTTATTTTGCTTCTGCACTCGTCGGAGCGCGCGGCGGCTGCGCGAAACTTCGACGTGCAAAGTTTTAATAGAAATTAAGATTTTAATATAATAATTAAGAAAGAACTTAACATGTAAGAATTTGCTGTGATCAAAGAAACTGTTTTATAAATGTGTTTTTTAAGTTGTCCTTCAAAATAACATAGCATTTGCATGCTGGAGAATTTTATAAATATTAGCGTTGAGTAAGTTCTATAAATCGACGATATTCGTCTAAGCTTAAAGGGAAACTAAGCTAATAAGATTAAATAGAAGCCTTCATCGTGTTTGATCCTTCGGTTCCCATTATTCAATATCTTCATATACATAGGAACTACTGAATTTATCTGACCTTTGAGTTTTCGAAAATAATTTTATGGTTCCAATTTGGAGTTGTATCCGATTTACGTGCATTATTTACTTATGTCCAGCAAAAATTACTTAACAGTAAAACAGCAAATCGTTGTCCATTTTTCGATGATCGATCATTTGTTCTGCCGTCGACAATGAGGAATGAAGTTTCGAGGTGACTGAGATTATGTGTTCGATTTTTTCTTCGAGCGTGTATGCCTCTAAATTTGTTAGCATTTTTCTTGCTTTATTTGCTTCTTGCATCACAATTTTCTAATGCCCTTTTTTGGATATGCTTCCTACGATTCATGTCCGATGATGGTTCCAAATGATATGCATCCTACGATTCATGTCCGATGATGGTTCCAAATGATATGCCTCCCTACCATTCATGCCTCCTACCGTGCTTATCTGAATTTATCTTGTCTGTTTAATTTTTCATTATCAAGTTATTCTACCCACTAACAATTGTACCTTCGAAAGGTTCACCTAACATGGCTTCTCCTTCAAAGTCCCAGTAATTTATTCATCAGGACTCGTAAGGATCTCGCAATCTTTTCGATGCAATTCTCCTAAGTTACCGCCAATTCGAACATCTCAAACTGCTTGTATTTTATTTCAATTATTTTGCCTGCTATTTGATATCTCCAGCATTTGTATTTGTTCGAGAAAATCACAAAAGAAGTTAAAATTAATACATTAAAATGATTTTTCAGCAGTGAAATTAAATTTTTCAGCAGTGGTAAAATTATTTCGTGTCTACCTATACTGTCATTTGGTCATTGATCAATAGCTGTCATAAATTATGAAAATTTAATTTTGAACTTTTATTTCAAATACAAATTATCAAAGATCTAAAACTTCATGAAGACATTTATGCGGAATGCGAGAGATCAACGTGTAAACTTCTATGTAACTGGAAGAGAATACTGACGTATATTCCATTCTGCTGTGTCTACCGAAAAAATATCTCGGTGGAGGAAAATTTTCTTATATGTTTCAAAGGTACTTTGATTTTTAATCATAGAATAAAGATAAAAGAACGGAAGCTTGACTCGGCACACAGCCCGTTACTATCAGAACGCTATCACTTCTTATCTCCATACTTCCTATCGAGTGCGGAATGGTGCGCAGGTGCTGCATATATATACTCTAATCAAGATACAAATGTTGACCTAGCATTCTTATAAGTCTCAACTTCCAAATAAAGGTTTTTAAAGTGCTAATTCAACAATTAGATTAGGAACTTCATTTATTATATGATATGTAAATTTGCAATATTTTCATATAGTTGTTCGAGTCCCCTCTGCTTATGACGGGAACAATTTTCTTGCACTTTTTGACCTTCAACGATGCTTCGTCAAAATTCTGTACTGTCTTGAGTACAAACTAACAATATTCGGGACTATTATTACCGAAATCCCCCCTAATAATATACGTTTAAAAATTACTTTTTAAAGACAACACTTCTAAAGAATCCAGTGTCTCCAATGTTACAGATGTACAATGAATTTCTCATTTTATTTTTGAATATTAAAAAAATTAATTTTTCAATTTTTTTAATACGGTATATAAAAAAATTTCCGAAATTATTTATTCTGTCAATTGATTCAAGCATTGCCTCCGACTTCACACAAGTGTGCAAAATTTCAGATCAATTGGACAGGCAAAAGTGTGTCAAATATCAGTTATACGATTTGTAGCTGACAAAATTATTTTTTTTTATTTTTTTAATATTGAAAAAAATTTAAATTTTTGAAATCATTTATTTTGTCATTTGATTCATGCATTGTCTCCAACTTTACGCAAGTGTGCAAAATTTCAGATCGATAGGATAAGTAGAGATGTGTTAAATTTCAATTATAAGATTGGTAGCAGACAGACACACAGACAGACAGACAGACAGACAAACAAACAAACAACAAGAAGTGAAGTTAAAGGAAGTGTTGTAAAAAGTGGTTTGGTTTGACAATGTAGTTGCCGGCCATATACAGGCAAGAACTGGTTTTAAAGTATTCTTACGAAATCTGAGCCTCGCAAAATGTGTAATGGTTGGCTCATCAATAAACATGAATAATAACGTCCATCCAGATTTGTTGACAGTCTTGCAAAAAAAAATATTTTTAACTAATTGGAAACGTGTGTAAAACTCAATTTTAAGCGAAATAGCAATACAACAAAGATATATGTGCATTGCACGTAAATTATTTGTAACGGTTTACATATTTTTTTTCGACTGAAGGCTGCCTAAAGTCCTATAATGAATTTTTTAATTCAAAGCTTACGGTCAAAAACGAAATGAATTCCCGCCCTCCTGAACCATAAGGTGCAAATTGAAAATCTCTTATCTCCATATAATAGCTGGAACAATAGAACACAGTAATTTCGTACATGATTTGGAACCCAACACAAAATACACAAACCAATATCGTTAAAGATTACTTAGGGTTTAAAAAAACAATATTTTTGAGACTTATTGTCGGCATGTAAGATGAAACACCCTAATGTGCTTAGTTCCCTTGCACTTCATTGTCCTCTCCACGAAACGGTATTGAATTTATTGCAGAAGCTGAACAATCTGGGAAAATTATATCCAAAACTTAAA